CTGCCTCCAGTGGGCCTGGGGGCATCAAAGAGGCATGGGGGCCAGGGTGGATGCAGGAGAGAGGTGAGAGGAATGGGTGGGAAGTGGGGGGAGAGCCCCCCTCAGGCTGAAGTTGCCTGGGCCCTGGGAACAGCCTGATGTATGTGCATAGCTGAAAGACATGCCTGAATGTGTGTGACAACGAGCCTGGAGCATGTGAATTCCAGGATCCAGGTGAGTAGCCAACTCCCTGTGCAGCCCTCCACCGACTCCCACAGCCTCGCTCTTAAGCAACCCTGCCGCCAACTCCCTCCCCTTCCCTCTTCTCCCCACAGTCTAGAATACAGCTGCTGATGTGGTGGGTGAGGGATTGGTGAAGCATAGAGAATCATAGACAAGTAGGGCTGGAAAGGAACCCTCTGCTCACCAGGCCTCTAGTGGCAAGTCACAGCTGTGCAAATAGGAGAAGGCTTCTAGACTGCTAGGTGTGACTGCTCCAAAGTCTAAGCTAGCACTAAGCTGATTAACATTTGTGTGGCTCCAAGTACAATATGTAACAAGGCCCTGTCTACACTACAGAACTATTGTTTGTATAAACTAATTAAGAATGCATGAATAACAAATCCCCAAAGAAGCTCACCATAATTTAAAATGCATCATTTCTTCTACAAATTTAACTATTAGAAGATCATTCCAGATATGTTTAGTGCACTTTCCCCTTATTCTCTGAAAGAGAAAGTAGCCAGATGGACTTGCACTGAAATAGTCCACACACTGCAAAGCTGTAACACTAACTCACATCTTTCTCTGGGCAAGCAAATGGATCCACATGTTCAATTGTTAAGAAAATGTAGTATATACACATTACAGATACTGTGCCATACTAGTATAATCTCTCCTAATTAGAAGCTTCTCACTTGAAGATTCTTGGAAACAACTCAACATCCCTGCAACTATCTAATGATTAAGGTGTTGTTGTCTTAAAGTGCCCAACTGTGCCCCTTTAAACTTTAAACATTCTCCTGGCATTACAAAAGCTGTAGCTATCCCTTGCTATTAATTAACCATGTTACAAATTAATTTTATTTTGAGAATATTCTCATTTGGCATACCAATTTATGAAGTAACCAAATGTGTTTATAATTGCTCTCAATTGCTTTTCATCTCCTAGATGCAAGACTTTAATCTCAAAATGTGTTTGTAGGTGCTAAACAAATCACCTAGGTATAAAACCCTGTGTGTTCCCTCTCCCAGCTAATTTTTATTAAACTGCTGTGAAGACAAACAATTTAACAAGTCTGTAAATTAGCACTACTAAACTTCATACATTCTGTTTCCACTGATCTCTTACGAAGGAGATAATCTTAACTCTTCCATGGCAGAGCCCAGACTCAGTCATATTTTTTACTACTGGCATGGAGAGGCAGGATCTAGAGAACAAATGCAGGGATATGGGCAAGGCAGAGTTTGGATTACAGCAAAAGCAAGCAAGAGCAAGGCAAAGCTACTGAATCCAATGTTAGCCTAAGGAGGCCCGAGCCCCAGAAGCAGATAGCTGGGGTCAGCCAGTCTTTGCTGTGTCAGCTGAGGAAAAGCATTGCTGTCACTTCTTATTCTGTCTACATGCATAACTTCTCATTTTCTATCTTCTGGTACGCCCACCTACTCAGTCTTAGAGTGGAATGGTAGGGACATTATCTGGTCCCAAGCTGGAGCTGCACTTTTAAATTTTAAACCCACTGAGATCTTAGCACTATCTACAATGTCTGCAAACATCTGCAAAAAACTAGCTTTTACTAGCTTTAAGTGACTTAATATAATGAATCTGTGGCTATGATATTGTCCTTTCGTAGCTATAACAACAGACATCATCACTGATATATATGCCTGTATCAAGATAGTGTTAGAAGGAGGAACATACATAAAGGCATAAATGTCCTTTGGCATGCTTTGCTCAGTTTGGTTTGTGTTCTGTGATAAAGGTTTAACTTTTTATTTTAAATATTCAAAATAGGCTTACGATAGAATATATGTGCTCGAATCCAAAGAAGAACAAAATCCCTAAATTAAAAGGAAATGAATCTTGTTGAGTCTCAGGTTGATGATTTCAATTTTCAGTGATCTGTTACAGCTCATTTTAAGATTACAGAAGTGATGTAAACCACTAGTATTTTGACTGGGTTTAGCTCTTTCAGCTTTTTACACATGAAGAGGAAAACAATTCTTTCCCACAAAGCCGGTCAGTTACTGGAGAAATGATGCTAACATGAAAGTAAGGAAAGTGTATTGTTTATTGCTGTTATAGATAAGACAGGTTATTCTGGTTACTGACTCCTGAACTCATTTTGTGTATTGCAGAGTTTAAGTAAAAGTATTTAATGGTTTAAGATCAAAATACTTTTGGTAAAGATGTTAATTGCTTAATCAGTACTCAAGAGAAAAATGAAGTGTTCTTCGCTTCAGCTCAACTAAAGCTGCCATTCAAAAAGCTTTTCAGGCTTAGTATTTCTTAACCCCACAGCAAAAACGAAATACACTTGTTTTATCCCCTAATTAATTAGTATGTTTTACTCTTCAATTTTACAGAGTTAAACATTATAAATTGGGATCAAAGGGGAAGACTGTGCACTGGTATATTAGCTACTTAAATTATTTTGTATCCATAAATTACAGAATCATAAAAATACGTCCTTCACCCCTGAGCCTGCACAGGACACAGAAGGTAATATCAACCTCTCCTTAATAATAATGTAAAGTCAAGAATTCCCAAATTTCCTCTGGACAAAAGCCAAAGCATTATACAGAAGTAATGCTATATAAGAAAGAAATAGGATCAAAGAACAATTAACATTAAAGTCTGTGACAGTTTTACCAATAGTAGCACTCTTCTGTTATTCTTAAAAAGACAACAGTTGCAGAAAAATATTTAATTCTTTAATAACTAAAAGAAGCTACTGCGTTACACTATATATTAGATTAGTTGTGTAAATGGGAATGTACAAGCCATTTGGTAACCACAAAATTAAGGAGAGCACAAGAAGTTCCAAATATGCATTCTAGTGAGAGTTAATATTGTGATGCAAACAGAACAAGTAAGCTCTTTTAAAAATTACTATTACAGTGTGCAGATATATTTTAATAGGCCGCATTGGGCACATCTACACATGAAATTAGTGCGCCTAAATAAACTCCGGCACTGTTTGCACTGGAGTTTATTGCTCCCAGGAGCAGTATATCCATGTGTGCCCAGGACCACAACATATTGAGCTGGGGCAGCGCAGGATCAGTTGGCAAGGGGCCCATGGGGCCAGCCTGCCAGCTCAGGGCTGCTCCAGCCTGGCTTAATGTGCTACAGAGAGGCTGGCTGGTCCATGATGGTGCTACAGGTAGCCCCCGCACTGTAGTCCCCTTGTGACCAAGCCAGCCCCAGTCACTGTCTACACATGCATTGCAGCCCAATAAATAACTGTTGGGCAGTACTAGACTACAGTGGAGCTAATTAGTACACTATGACCTAATAGCACCAAACATGTAAACAGTGACGCTTTACTGCAGAGCTCAGTCCACTCCACAGTAAAGTGTAATTGTAGATGCGCCTTGTATATATGAAATAGTACTTCTGATCTGAAGGATAATTCATTAAAGAAAGCCTCTTGGATGTAGAATGTACTAATGGTGAAATGAAAAACTTTACGGTTTCCAAAACAAAGTGTTTCCAAAATAAACGGCTAGACCTACTCAGACTGTAACACTTGCAAGAATGCCTTGAAGAGTCGAGGAAGTGGAAGGAAATATCTAAGATACTTACATGGCCCTGCTCTCAGAGTATCTGTACATCTCAAAGCCCTTACTTCACGTACTCTTGCAAAACCTCTCTCATGTAAAGCTATACCAGACGCAGAACTAGACACTATAGGCCCTGCTTTTTTTAAGTGTGTAGATAGTGACTTTACAGAGACAAAGTTACCTTTTAAAGTCACACAAAATATGTAGAATGTGCATAATCATTTATAGTATGGAGAACATTTATAATTTACATTGATGGTTCAGGAATGGTTTTATATCCCAAAAAATAAGGACAAAAGCCCATACTAGTGATAGTGATGAGCATCTTGTCATTGTCCTAGTTACCTGATAGGTTTTCTTGAAACTTATTCTTATTAGGACTACATGGATTATTGCATAGTGCACATAACTGGAGATTGAGGTATTTCAATAAAATTTGCAGCTTGGACCTTCAATCCAATTCCAAAATTTGAATATTAAAAAAAACCCCTCACCAGGGACTATGCCAACTGCAGGGGACAATCTGAATTTTCAATCTGTAATTAATTTACCTAGTATGACCCCTGATAATACTGAGAAACTGGCTAGCTTGAGTTCTATTACAAATATATGTGTTAAGGGAAAATCCTAAATGAAAAGTGACCAGTATTAAGTTTGTATTTTCCTATAATATTTACATATCAACCCAGTAGTAAGATAAATTGAAGATCCATAATTGCTTCATTTTTAAACTGAAATATTTACTTACACTGCATATAACAATAGGCCCATAACACCTTAGATATAAGTCTCTGAAAATCTAACCTATGATCCCTACATGTCTGTAAAGCAATCTAAACCATTGTTTGTTTCTTCTAAATAGACACTCTAATTCTTGTCAAGAGAAATCTATTAAAGGATACTTATGAAGCATCATTTGAATTACTTCATATAAAAATAAGTTTTGGGGGGAGATTTTTTTGGTAGGTTGAGTAACTGGACCACCAAGAGACAAACAGATCAGACAATCATTCTCTATGCCCTTCAACATATTATTTGTCCTTTAATTGGGAAAAAAATGTTTTCTCATGAAGTGCAGAATATAATCTATACCTTCATTAAGTAAAATAACTTACCTGTGCTCATGTTATATTTTGGAAGATAAGGTTAAATTTCCAATTACATTTTTCATTCTAATGCATTCAGGAAATTTTCACAATAACAAATCTTGAGATTGCGATTTCCTTTTCAAGTACCTTGTTTCCAATTGCCTTTTTTGGTGGGAAGTTAAAAGTCCTCACTTGGTGGTATTTATTCTGTAATTTGTGATGTAAGCTTCTGAATTCTGCATATCTTCGATACACATTCCATTCATCATCTTTTATCCTGATATATACCTGCCAGAAAGATAACAAAAGATGTTTTAAATTCAACCATTACATTCTTTTTGTCACTATTTTATTAAATGAAGTACACATATACACACACACAATTTTCACATTTGTGTCATAACGATAGAATCATAGAAAATTAGGGTTCAAAGGGACCTCAGGAGGTCATGTAGTCCAACCCCCTGCTCAAAGCAGGACCATCCCCAATGAAATTGTTCTAGACAGGGCTTTGTCTAGTTGGCTCTTCAATACCCCCAAGCATGGAGATTCCACCAGCTCTCTAGGTAACTTATTCCAGTGCTTCACCACCCTCCTAGTGAGAATTTTTTTCTTACTATCTTATTAAACCTCCCTTGTTGCAACTTGAGACCATTGCTCCTTGTTCTGTCATCTGTCACCACTGAGAATAGTCTAGTTACATCCTCTTTGGAACTACCCTTCAGGTAGTTAAACGCAGCTATCAAATCCCCACTCAGTCTTCTCTTCTGCAGACTAAATAAACCCAGTTCCCTCAGCCTCTCTTCATAAGTTGTGTGCCCCAGCCCCCAAACCATTTTCATTGCTCTCTACTGGACTCTCTCCAATTTGTCCACATCCTTTCTATAATAGGGGGCCCAAAACTGGACACAGTACTCCAGACATGGCCTCACCAGTGCAGAATAGAATAGAATACTAATGCACCCAGTATGCTGCTAGCCTTCTTGGAAACATGGGCACACTGATCACTCATACTGGAAGTTGTTGAATTTTAGATCCACAAATATATCTTTTTTTTCTTAATACAGTCATTACATTTGCTGGTTTTATTTTACAGGTCATCAATCTAATTCTATTTTATCAAAATCAGTGATGACCTTAGGTGCCAAGTACATGGGGGCCTAAGGGCCCTGATCACCCTTGGGAAGAGGGTAGGGCAACCACCCACCTTTAATTGGGCAGGACAATCCAGTCCTGACATGGGAATATCAAGTCCCAGTCCTGCGTTGCAAGACTCCAGGACACCATTTGTCCTGGATTCCCAGTATTGTGCAGGGATCCAGGTTTTTTATGTTTACCGCAGAAATAGCAGGTTTCTCCTTGCAGGCTGTCAGAGTTCCAGCCTGCTAGGGACTGCTGGGAGTGGGACGCAGGGGGTGTCACATGAAGTTATGCGCATATACACATGCACGAGACCAGGAAAACAGCCCCAGGCAGCAGTGGAAAGCAGACCCCCCAGCTACCTGCAGGTAAATTGAGGGGGGCAGATTTAGGCCCCCATGGTGAGGGGGGAAGTGGGGCAGGGGCTGGGAGCACTGTCTAGCCAGAGCAGTGCATGAGCCCCAGGGTCAGGGTGGGGAGTGGGACAGAGCCATGGGCAGCTTGTCCAGGGTGTGGGGGCACGGGGCTATTCCCTGTTGCCCACCCAGCACCAGCAGGCACAGTAGCATGGAGCTGTGTGCCCTGCTACTGCTGGGTGGGCACAGGGTGCCTTGCTATGGTGGCACAGCCAGTGCAGGGCTCCCAGAAGGAGGGCAGCAGGGTGGGGGGCCCTGAGCTCACAGTGGGAAGCCCAGCTCTGCTCAGCTCTGCTCCAGCCATGCTGCTGGTGGGAGGAGAGGGGGGGCATCATTTTAGCTCCCCCCACTTGCAAAAATAAGAATCCATACCTATGGTAATGACATACTAACTTATTCATTATTGCAATACATTTTGAGTGTAATTTTGTGATAAAATAACTATTAATGCTTTCTGTTTCCATGGTTCCCAGAAGGTTCTTCTGGTCAGTGCACAAAGGAAAAAATAAGGGGGAAACGTCTGATTTCTATCTAGTTAGTATAGTGTTCCAACTTCATGTATGGACTGGTAGTTATTGCTACTACATTACTAATTTTATTCATTAAACTTATGCTAATAGAAGCCACACATCCTTTGCAAAACAACTGTCTTTTTCAAAGACATCATAGTAAATTAGAAATAAAATATTATTTGCAAAACAACAAAAAACCTCTCGTCTTGTAGATAATGTAAAGTACAATTGACACGTAATTTAATGCATCTGGTTTTTTTTCTTTTTTGGTTTTGTTTGGTTTTGTTTTTCATGGAAGTACTACAATAATGTACTATGTATTGGCATTTCTCTTGGAGATGAAAAGCCCACAGCAAACAAAAAAAAATCATAAGAAATCCTAGATTCCATTACTGGTTCTGGAATAATTTCTCATTTAGGAAAAAAGGTTTGTACCTTTACAGATGAGACAGACAATTCATGGCTCCAAAACCCAGAAACACCACAGTGAACTCAGAGCTTGACACAACATTCAGATGAGAACCACTATCTTCTATTGTCTGACTTCGGGGATAGGCAGGTGTAACAATTGCATAGCTAATAAACAACACCAAAATAAGTTGTTATAATGGAAGTGCTACATCTGCCTCATTCTATAGTGATACTGATGTAGCAAAATTCCTTCAACTTCAACCGGTTCATCTGGTGTTAGAGCTACCTGCACAGCTATAACATAAGTAGATTTAACAGTTTTGTAACAGCTGAAATGTGCTCCTGAAGAAAGCTTCCCTTCCCTTCCCTTATAGCAGCTAAAATGTACTTTTGTCCAGCCCTCTGTATTATTCCAGTCCCAGCAGTTCAGGAACAGTTTTACCAGTGGCTTTCTTTCTGCAGCATCTATGCCTTCTTATTTTTACCCCAAATTTTCCAATGTTAATAAACACGGGTCTTTTAAATTATATGCTGGGGCAGGTTAGGACTGATGACACAAGTCTTCTTTGACTAAACCCAGCAATTTTTAAAGAGTTTCCAGATTACCAAAAAGATGATAATGTGAAAAAACAAAAGCAGTACTAATGGTCCTATAAAACAAAGAATGAACAAAAAAGAAATACCGCCGCAAAATAAAAATAAGCAGGAAAAAAGCCAAAGCCCAAATATTCAAACTTGGTTGCGTAAAATACCTTTTCAAATCCATACTGAGGTACCTATTTAATTGACTGGATTTTCAATGTTGCTGAGCAGTATTGAGCACTGATTATTTAAATGCCTAAATTTGGGGAGAGGGAGGACCTATGAGATATCATATGTAAGTAATCACAAACAGCCACATTAAATATGGTGATAATACAAGAACACTTGGTTTTATATTAAGTGATGGAACTATAGGGGTTTAGGCCTCAGTTCAACCAGATAATTAAACTGTTCCCTTGAAGGCAATGAGACATTTGACACATTATACAAAGTATTTTTTTTTAAATACTTTTTACTGCTTATCCATCCTCCAAGTAATATGCTGTGCTTAAAAACATATTAGTTCAACATGTAATTACAATTCATATTTTCCAGGATTCTGATAAAACAAAGAATGTCTAAATTATTTTAACGTACTTATTTAATATGGAAATCCTAATTTCTCTACTCAAGTACAGAGAAAATTGTAATTTGGTGAATCATGCAGTTCAATGTTACCTATTAAGCTGTAACCTGTAGTTAAGTAATTAAGGAGTCCAATACACTGTAATTGAAATTTTTAAACATTGCAAAAACATAGATTCACTTCTTTTATAAATTGCTAAAGGATTTCTTGCTGTTCTTTTAAGTACGTAGTTATTGATTTCTTTGAGATTGTAAAGTGTGAAGAACCAAGAGCTCTGTGCCATATTGAATTTATTGACAATCATATAATAGAGTCTGAAAGGGCATATTAAAGTTTCTGCTTTGGTACGAGCATTTAAAGCTTTATCATCTCAACAGGGAATACTATTAACAAGCCAAGATATTTCAAGACAGTTAATCCCAACTCACTTGGGAAATCAAACAAAATAAGTCCTAAATGTTAAAAAGGTCGGATAATCCTGGTTTAGTTTAGTCATATAAAAACATAAACAGCTACTCTTGTAGGAATGAAAGATCACAGAACAAACACAGAAAAAGTGAAGAACAAAATATCTGTCTTCGTAGGTGATGTTCTATTATATACCCCAAATCAAGCAACTCAAAGCACAGGCTGAAAACTTGACCTTATTAAGTCAGTAAGAGCCTGCCATTGACTTTAATGGTACCATAATTTCCTGTGTGGTCTTTAATAAAGGAACTCAGCTAAATCTGTCATTACCAAATAAACAAATCTAAGATGAAAGCTATAATGAATTAGTGAATCTCAAGTCATGAGTATAGTAGGAGAGGTTCCAATATCTTGGAATATTAATTAATCAAAGATGAATATTTCAAATAATAAAATATACATAAAGTCACTTGAACCAAATTAAAATATAGGAGAAAGTGAGAGATGATCAGCTCTTAATAACCCTTAACAGAGCAGAACATGAAGCACTAAAAACCAATAGCTTAAGAAGAATAACGTTACTTTTTTAGTACTTACCAATGGATCACCTATGGATCTCCCTAAAAAAAACTTGCCTCCATTTGTGTACATAGAATATACTGGGACAGGTAATTAGCCATGTTAGTCTGAAGTCAGGCAGAAGGCAGGGTAGACCTATACCTTTACAGACTAACTCAATCAGAGATGTATACCATAAGCTTTCATAAACAAAGGGGTTAGAAGCAGACCTGCTAAATAGAAAGCAGTGATTAGAGGACCAAGGGTAAGGAGGAGGGGAGAAAGAAGGGGGTGCTGCTGAGTGGTCAGGTGGGTAAAAGAGAGAAAAAAAAATAAAGCAGTTAATCCATTAAGGGATTTTGGATTTATAAAAGCTAATCCAGGTAATGGGATAAGAATCCATAGACTCAATATACAATATACTTGAACACAGTCTAGTTGGTGATATCTTGTTCCACAATTTCCCATTCAAGTTTGTTTTCAAAATTTTGTTGTCTAAGAACAACCATTCTGAGATCAGTGACGCAGTGTCCAGGGAGGTTAAAATCCTCTGCCACAAGGCTTGTAGGTCTTTCTGGTAGTGCTGTCAAGTCAGTGTTCATTCATTCTTATATATAGGGAATTGCCCTATCTGTCCAATGTAGACAGCAGAGGTGCACTGTAAGCAGGTGATAG